GCTCCTCCGCCGCGGGGCGGACGCGTCAACTGCGAGGGCGAGCGAGCAACAAGTCGCTCCGGGTGCCGCAATCAGCGGGTAAGCTGTCGCGGCGGCCAGGGTGTCGTTCTCGGTGCGGACAAGCGGTGGTATGGAGTAGAGGCGGCGTCTCGACGCACGGGGCCCGGGGGTGAGACAGGCGGGGACTCGGTCGCCTCCATCGCCGCGATCGGGACGAAGGTGGACGCACGGTACATCAACGACGACGGCACAGTGTCCTGGTACGGTGCCGTGATTACAGCGGTTCACGGCGACGGCTTCACGCTGGATTGGGATGACGGCGACACTGCGCAGCGGCGGCAGCCCAAGATGCACGTCCGGCTCTCGGCGCGGCCCTCCAGCGGCGCTCCTCCCTCCTCCTCCACCGCCGCCGCCGATACCATCGCCACCGCCGCCGCCGCCACCGCCACCGCCCCCCCTGCCGCTCCCAACCCGTCCCCGCCCACGAGCCGTTTGTTCACGCCGGACGGCCAGGCGCCCACGGGTGGCATGCCGGCCGTCGCCGCGGCGCTGGCGAGGATCGGGCTGCAGGCCTACGTGGCCGCCTTCGACACAGAGGGCTATGACGACCTCGAGTTCCTGCGCGGGATGGACGCTGTCGAGCGGGCAGACGTGGCCAAGGCGATAGGCATGAGGCCGGGGCATGCGGGCAAGTTTGTCAAGCACGGCTTCGAGCGGCCTTGAGCGAGCAAGCCGCATGCAAGTGGGGGCCACAGGGCCCAGCTCCAGCAGGTGTGTGTGTGTGTGTGTGTGGGTGGGTGGGGGGTGGACAGGCCGTGAGCGGTACGCGAAATGTGTGAGGAGATGTCAGCTCGTCTGATATACTGCTGTTCGCCTATAGACGGATCCGATTTTTACCACGTCGCGTCGCGAGACGCAACGACCTCTCGCGTCTCGGTCATCGGTACAGACGCACCAACCCCTTGCGCTCTCTTCACACAGGGCTCTCACAGCTGACTGTGAGACCCGTGAAGGTTGGTGAGGCCGACTATAAGTGTACAGCGGGGGAGGAGTTGGTACATATACACACACCGGAGTGGGGTCGGGGGCAAAGAAGTGGGCGAAAAGGGAGAGGGAGAGATCGTACATGCCTTGGCTAACTACTTATTGCGTG